ACAAAATCGTAGGGGATATTTAAAAAAATATCCCAAAGGACAACTCAGGAGATCTCCCTGGCACTTGGGATTTCTTAGGTGCCGAGTTCATAAGCCAAAAAAAGTTTAAACTTTCAGTTTTAAGAGGGTTTCATTATCCCAAAAAGCTTAAAGTTCATAAACTCAGCTACTAAGATTTTTGAAATCCCAGAGGCCCCATATATGGTACCATTATGGAATTAGGCCCCACAAGACCATCCTTATCAGGGTTTTAGGGACCTAATTCCATAATGCCATCATGGTACTATATATGGAGCCTCTAGGAATGCCAGCTCTTATGATGCTTGTCATAACTATCCCTTGATGCATCTAATGCCTGAATTGTTGGTTCATGGTTTGGGGGTTCTCGGCGTGTACGGCTCTGTGTTCTGGCAAAAGTGACACTGTTTAGAACGAGGCCGGCACAGATTTTGCAATGCGATTGCACAGCTTCAGGGTGCAGGGCTGCTAAAGAATCTCGGCGGTTGGATTGCAGGTCATGTACCGCGCAAACATTAAAGGTCTGAAGGACTTTCCGATGAGGTACTTGGGTCTAGCAATATAGCAGGTTTGTAGATTCGTACAGGGCAGAGAGTATCTAGGTATCAGGTACTGGGACCCTTAGGGAAACCCAGAACTGCCCAGAACACCATGCTTGAGAAGGGTGGCACTGATGGAGGCGTTGTATGACACCACAGTGGGTTGGTGGCTGCGCTGTAGCAGGTCGGCAAAAAGCATCAGAGCCGTCCGCCAATGCTGGCCGGACTTGCCTGAGCTCTGCTGTATTTACGCTGAGGTCTCGAATTTACGGTTTTGCGATTGGTGGCAGGCCGGCATGAACTGTGCAAGGGCTGCTGGTTAAGTATGCTGGTTAAGTATGGTGTGATGGCTTCACTCCAAGTACATACATAACCGGCTCGCACAAGACTTACAAGCCTACACAGCTTACGACCAGAACCCTCTCTAGTATACAGCCTCTTGCTCAACAATCCCCGGTGACCAGACCGAACAAATACCCGTGTGCGCACAGTCACGGATTAATTAACCCGAACATAGATATCCAAATGAATCTTCAGGTGCCATGTTGAGCAACTAATCCTACGAGGTCCCAGTGCCATCCGGGTAGGGTTGTAGATTGTAGGACCCATAAATCATACTCCGAATGGGTATATATCCTACTATTCGGGTACCATAGAAGCCGGAATTGCCAGTAATTTAATTCCTCAGGGTTCCTTCTCCTGATTTTAGAGTTGTAGAAGATCATAAGCCCAAACCCTATTCTACTTAATAAGGCCCTTAAGACACTTGGAGCAACTGGACTCTTTCGGATGAATGCAACCCTCCAGGTTTTAGGTATCAAGAAACTGTTGGTGCTTGTCTGGGCTCTCTGGAAGAATACTGCCACGTGCGGGGGGTAGTAGATTAGGGGTTTCTGAATCAAATACATTCAAGCTTGTGTAAGATGAGGGCTCATTCTAGTGGCTCCTGGTTAGCGGATTTAGCAGGCTTCCGCCGAATCACTCACGGCTTGGGGCTTGGGACTCAGGAACTCAAGCTTTGTACACGGAAAATGCCGCAAGATTGATAGGGCTGCATAAGGATCTTATGAAGGGTTGAATACGCCTTTATCAAGCTTCTTAGGCAGGCTCAACAAACGATTTTAGAATGGGTCCAAGCGTTTGCATTGTTGTCCATGAGATCTACCAGCACTTCGCAACTGCAGCACCTTAGGATGTACGCTTTCAGTTCTAAAGGCTATAGTATACTACGATTCCCAAAAGTGCAAAGTAGTTCTATATTCTACACCAGCTTCCCGAACAATGCAAAGTTCATTCATGACCCAACGGTCCCAGTAACACCATAGTATGACGACCCAGACCCCGCAAAAATGTAAAAATGTGTTTGTACCCTTCGGGATTCAGATACTAAGGCAAAGCACTGGAAAAGCTATAAACAATGAACCCTGCGGCCGCGCTGCAAGCGGAGATGAGCTTATTGTAATCCTGAGTGCCCCAGAGTCGGTTTAGGTTTCGGGTTTAGGCTTTAGACTTTATGGTTTAGGTTTGACGGTTGCAACTTATCCCGGAACCCTAACCCTAAACTCTGAATGTCTTGGAGGGATCGCGTGTAGCACCAAACTGAAGATAACACCTTAGAACATCAAAGCAAGTGCGCTCGCCTGGCATTGTGGGTAAACATAAATTCAGAGATGCGTATAACAGAAGCCGAAACAGTTTTAGGGCCTGTAAAAAGCCAACAAGCTCCTATTTGGGGGCTAGGCGTAGCCCCCAAAAAGAACACAACAACACCAAATTCGGGGGGCCTGACAAGAGCCAAATGCCCAAACTTGGGGACCTGGACAGGCCAAGCCAACTTTCGGGGGCCTGGAAAAGCAAAGCCAACTTTTCCTGGGCGTGGAAAGGGCCAGCAGAAGGTCAATTGTAGATAACCCAGACGGTCCACATACATTACTATTGCGGAATTACGTCCCCCAAAACCATAATGAGGATGGTCTCCCAGTTTCTAATTCCATAATAGTAGTGCTTATGGAACCCCCTTAAAGGAACCCCTGAAGCTAATACATCCCTTTAAAGCAACCCTTAAAGGACCCCTGAAGCCTTATACACCCCTTTAAAGGAACCCTTAAAGGACCCCCTACCCTCTGGGTAAGGAGCCCTAAACTCCTAAAGATGTTACGCTGTGTGGGCTATGATCAGTTGGAGGGCTCCTAGGGTCAAGGAGGGATCAAAGGACTCATGTGGGGTTCCTTTAAAGGGATCTATAAGGGGTCCTTTAAAGGGATCTAGAAGGGGTCCTTTAAGGGGATCTATAAGGGTTCCTTTAAGGGGATCTAGAAGGGGTCCTTTAAGGGGATCTATAAGGGTTCCTTTAAGGGGATCTAGAAGGGGTCCTTTAAGGGGATCTATAAGGGGTCCTTTAAAGGGATCTTTAAGGGGATCTATAAGGGGTCCTTTAAAGGGATCTAGAAGGGGTCCTTTAAAGGGATCTATAGAGTTTAGGGATCTAAGGACTCATATGGGGTTCCTTTAAAGGGATCTAAAAGGTGTCCTTTTAAAAGGGTCTATAGAATTTAGGGATCTAAGGACTCATCTATTAAGGCTTTTGGGCCCTAAGACCATACTATTTAAGCCTTTTCGGGCTATTTTAATTTTGCTCCCTAGGGTGTTATTCTAGCTTCACCAGAACTCCTCACCTGAAGCCGTACACCCGATTTTATTAACCCTGGGGAGCCCGAAATCTCTGATTCCCCAAGGTTCGATGCACACGAATAGAAGGGTCTGAGGTACCAAAGCGTATCTAATGTATATTCTCTGGAACTTCAAACCCTACTATTCAGGTACTTCGACCGTGATCAAACCTGCTTACAACTCTGTAAAAAAAACGAACAAGCCGGGAACAGCAACCGTAGATGCCAGACCCTGAACCTGAAAGCAAGAGATGGCCACCCCAAGCCATCTAATTTCTGCGCCCCTTATTCTACTTAACATCCTACTGTCGCAGTCCCGCATCGTGCTTGAACTCCGGGCCTAAAGCTTTCGACCCTGTTCCATCCACTGCAAAGGACAAACTATGTAAAGGTCCGAAGCCCTCAAACACGCCATGCAATAAAGCATCCGACGTGGTCTGTGGCTTGGCTCCCATGAAGAAAGACACATCGGGCATGATTCCGGCGATTCTGGGCTTAGGGTAAGGGGATTAATATAGGGCCTAACTAATTGGAATAGGGTTTTGGAGCCCAATATACTATAACTATAATCAGGAATCCCCCAAAATACGGTTGATGATGTATATCCTGCATTACCTTAATGACCCTAGACTATGGGAATTATGGTATATTCCATATTAAGGGTAGTGCAGGATTTGTATCACCAACCGTAGTAATGGGAACTACAGAGGCCCCTATATTGCAGGACCCTGGGGTCTAAAACGAAGGCTCGATGGATTCATAAATTTGGCCCTTGCTGTAGAGGGCTTTGGCGCTCTTCTGAGCCACCCAGACCTTCCAAAATCACTGAATCAAGGAATATACCTTAAATCATATTAGGGATCCTACTATAATTTAAGATATATTCCTCAATTCCCCTGTAGAGCGCGTATAGATCCCTTTAAAGAACCCTTTAAGGAACCCTCATCCTACTACAATTTAAGGTCTACTCCTTAATTAAGGGATTTTGCAAGGTCTGGGCACAGGGTGAAGCCCACAGCCTTAAGGGTCCATGTACTCATATAGTATATACACTGGCCTTAAAGTACTCCCTATATAGGTACATTGGGCCCAAAGTATATGCTATATGGGTACATGGACCCTTAGGTCAGGGTGAAAGGATACCGAAGGAACCCGAAACCCGAAACCTTACGCGAGACGGCCCTAACTTCTCATGCGAAAGTTAGTAACCCAAAGGGTCCTAGGTGCCGTTAATGGGGAAACTTCCCCAAATCATACTAGTAATTCGTAATATAGAGACCCTACACTCTACTATAAAGGTACTTTGGACCCTTTGGGTAAGAGAACCATTTTGCTTTCTTCTGAGCACCAGGCTGAAGAAATAAAGCAGGAGGCTAAACTTTAAACCTCCTGAGGAGGAAGCTTATTCTCAAATACCTTTTAGAGTACCTTTGGAACTCAACCGCTCAGCCATATCTACATGCCACATCAGAAGCCCCTAGAGCCCTCAATGACCGAAGCAGCTCATGTAGTTGAGACATCAGCTTAGTGTTAAGTTCATGTATTTACACAACATAGGAACGCCTGATCGTTGCATTCTGGCTCTGGTGGGAGGCTTACCTACGTTTACGCCGTTTAAGCCTTACTAACTTGAGACCATTTGAAAACCTTCAACGTTTTAAACACGTTTGAAACCTTTCAGTGCTCCTTCGGGGTTCCGTACCATGACTAATCTATAACCCAAGAAGCTGTTGCAATCTCCCACGCCTAAACCCGAAGGAAAGCCACTCTTCTTTTAATGCTCTGGCTGGGACAAGGTCTTGAAGACTCCATCGGCCACGGCCTTGCTATCCCAAAGGGTCTTAGGTGCTGTTATGGGGGATACTTCCCCAACTCATAATAGTAATTCCTGATATAGAAACCCTACATTCTACTATAAAGGTACGCTGGACCCTTTGGATCTGTGCTTGTGCTTCTTCGTTTGTGTCTCCCAAAGGGTCCTACAAGTACCTATAAAAGTTACTGTAAGGATACTGTTGGAGATTACTCCAGGGTTTGGATTTTGGGCTTTAGGGTTCACTCAAAGGGCCCTGTGTGATAAGTATCCTACAGTAGAGTGTAGGGTTTCTATCTTAGGAATCTCTCTTCATAACAGTACCTAGGGCCGTGTAAATATGTGTAAATCACAGGGATTCATTGCAAAGGCTCGATGTATGGTTTAGGGTTAAGGGTTTAGGGGTTTAGGGTTTAGGGGTTTAAAGTTTCTGGAAGCGTTACTCTCGGCGTTGAGGGTTTTGCCTTGGTAAGGTTCCAAGGTTCCAGAAAAGAGCCGTCGGGGTGTAAAGCCTTAGGAGGGTGGAGGCCTCCCGCAAGAATCCCTATGGGAACTGTGGCATAAACCTACACTTGTGCAGGAGAGTCGGGAAATCTCTCAGTGTCGACGATAGCCCAAAGAGTCCATGTTTCTAGTGTAGACTTCAGTCTTGGCCGCCCTTGTAGTACTAGCAGCCCTGAGAGGAAGCCTTCAGCTAACCATCTGAAGCTCTTGCAAAACCTAAACCCAAAATAAACTCAAAGCCCCGAAACCCCTTTGTAATCATGAATCAGAAATCACCAAGTTCAACACTCACAGAAGCCCTTAGAGGACCCCTTCACCCAGAGATCCCAATATCCCTTGATTACGGAAAATACCTTGAACCAGAATATGAGGGCCCATATAATTTAAGGTTTCTGCCTTAGTTAAGGGATATTGGGATCTCTGAGCAAAACAACCCTACGACCCTATTCTCAGTACCCCAATATGCCACGGAAATAAAAGGTTAAACTTTCCGACTCTTACTAAACTATAACAAACCAAAAAGTTTAAAGGTTAGGTATTGGGGATCTAAACACTTTTGGGGGGGTCCCTGAGAAACTCGAGCCGAGCCTGGCGGATCACGTCTTGGCTCAGTTCCTCTGGGCTTTAGGGTTCCTTTGAAGGGAGTGATGGGGATAGGGGTTCCTTTAAAGGGATGTATAAGGGACCTATATAGGGTTTAGGGTTAAGGGGTTTAGGGGTTTCAGCTATTACCTATATAGGGTTTAGGGTTGAGGGGTTTAGGGGTTTCAGCTATTTAAGGTTTAGGGGTTTAGGCTTTAGGAGTTTAGGGGTTTTAGGGTTGTAGGGTTTAGGGGTTTAGGGTTTATTAAAGCTCTACCTGGACCCGATAACTCCTGCTTCCTTAGCGTGATCTGTTTGTCTAAATTTATAAGGAGGTAGGTTCTTTCGGGTCCAGGTAAGGGCCTATGTAACATTGTAGAGCTTCCAACACCAGCTCCCGTTCCGGGCCGCGATCCGGGTTCTGGGAAGTATCCCCCATATAGGTATTAAGGACCCTTTGGGAAGCTGTGCTTTTCAATCTTGGCTTCGTGTCTTAGGCTTTAGGGTCTAGGGGTTCAGGGTTCAGCTAGGCTCATGAAGCATGTCTTCCAACAGAGTTCTGCGAGTTTTCGGGGTTCTTTTGCGGCCATTCAGGCATATTAGGAAGGGTTTACCTGACCCCAAGAGTATGTAGGAATAGTAGCCTTTTACAGGTGTTGGGCCATTTTGTTGCCTGCTTTGGCGGGTTTAGGTATCAGAGTAGTATGGTTGTTTGTACCGGGTATTACCCCAAGGCTCTAAGGACTCATCTATTCATAGGGATCCTTAGGGGTGCAGGGGGAGGGGGGGTAGGGGGCCTTAAGGCCCATAATAAGGACTAATAAGGCCTATTTCAGGAAATATAGTCCCCTACACCCCTCCCCCCTACACCCCTAAGGATCCCTATGATCTATGAAGGCTTGAGTCCAAAGGCCATAAAGGGAACTCCAGAAAGTTGGAATATGGATTAATGGTAGGATCCCCTATAATTTACCTTAAAGGGGTTACGATAATGATATTCCAACTTTCTGGCTTCTACTGTACTCCAAAGATCGCTCGTGCAAGGAACCTCTCCCTGACGATCTGACAGACCCCATGCAGCCAATACATCTTGCGACTGTGCCAGTCCCGGAGAGTGCTGAAAGATAGTGGCCGATGAGGCTGTAGGCATCTGGATGTGACTCAGGTTTCTTGTGCAGCTGGCGCCTCACTTGCAGCCATGCACGCTGGTGGGGCGTGTCAGGGTCATGACACGAATGCCGCCGTACCTGCACCTTGGCTGCTCCAGCCACGGCCGTCGATGACACATGCCACATCGCCAACTGCAAGAGACCTGTGTTCTCTCCGCTACCAAGGAAACTTTTCCAAGCCCTGCGGTTGATGATATAAATCCTGTATTACCTTAAGGACCCGAAACTATGGGAATTACGTTACATTCCTTCTTAGGGGTAATGCAGGATTTATATCATCAACCCTGGCTCCATTCAAACCGATCCGCTCAGGGAGGACCATGACAAACTTCTGCCGGTTTTTCTCTGCCTCCACAGCGAAGACAGCAAAAGCATGGGCCACGGTTTAGGGTTTAGGGCCCCCCTGGTACCGGGAAGAAGAAGAATTTTCTGATGTGCATCCGCCGCGAGTTCGACACCGCACCGAAGAAGATTATGTCAGCGACCAGCGCGGCGGACACCACGCGATTATTGCCGGCGTCACCTGAAAACAATTCCAAGAGTTCAGCTGCCCATTTTCTGTCGTCAGCATCAAATGGGGAAACGTACCTTTGTAAGGACTTACATGGAGAATTCATAACAGGGAACCCTGTTAGGGAAAGCAATGTAGTCCAGAACCGAAGCCCTCAAGACAAAGACAAAAAAACAGATACTAAGACACCAGAAACGCCGTAGAATCAGCACCCGGTTGCGCCCAACAGCAGAAACTTCATCAAACTTCAACAAAACTCCAGTAGTTTAACTTGCTAAAAGCCCCCTATGCTACCATTGTTACCCTTGAGACACGTTGACATCAAAGACAACTTGGGCATCCTTAAAGCCCCTAAACCCCCAAACTCTAAACCCCCAAACCCTAAACCCTTCCACCCCAAACCCTAAACTTCCAAACCCTAAAGCCCTAAACCCCAAACCCTACACCCCCAAACCCTAAAGCCCTAAACCCCAGGCCCTAAACCAAAAGAAGTTCCAAGGGCTCCCCACCCTCTTGTCACTTCGCACGAGGATCTCCGCCACTTGCTGCCTCGCATCGCCTCCCAGCGCTTGTCCCTAAACTCTACTTGGAGGGTCGGGGGACTTAGTAAGTAGGTAGTAAGTAGACTTCTAAGTACCCTAAAAGGGACCCTAATTGGGGTTGTGATACTTATAAGTCCCTAAAATAACCAGTTACTAAGTCCCCGAACCTCCAAGTACACCCCAAACGCAAGACCCTAAACCCTCACCTCTGCGACTCCAAACCCCAAGAAAGAATTAGGGGTACCTTATCTTGGGGTCCTTATAATAAGGATCCTACCATTTAAGGGTACTAGATTCGGGTCCCGAAGAAAGGGGGGAGGTTCTTGGGTTTGGTCTCCAAGTGCTCCCCTGTCTCTAAGTGTGTGCTTCTTCTTTTGCGAGGCAAATTAGGGATTCGGGCTTGGGGTCAGGGGTTTAGCTTTTGGTCTAGAAATTACCTGCGACCCGAACATCCTACCTTGTTAAGGAACTACATACACTGAAAGGCCGGCTTTTTTGCCGGCTACAGTAGGGTTGGGAGTCTAGGGGTTCATCTCGTTGTTGTGAGGGTGTTTTTGGTTGTCGAAGGGTTCTCGCGTGCGCTTACTCATTGTATGAAGGCTACACGGAAAGTATATTCTTTGCTGAAAGGGCTTCATGTATAGGTGCTTGATGTTCAAAGTGTGTCTACTCAGATCCCTTCTGCGAACCCTTATGGGGTGCATGGGCCCTGAGGGGCAGCTTGCAAACAGAGCTTCATACATCCCTTGGCTTTATCACAGCCTGTCTTGGCAAGAGGTTTGAAAATTCTAACCCCTGAACAAACTCTACACCTTCAGTAAACTTTGCAACCTAGCTGATTAAGTACCACATGACTGCGAAAAAGTAAGGACCCCTTAGCCCTTATAGCACGCCTACAATGGTAGCTGAACCTTTAGCCCTTTTGGGCTGCCTGTCGCCGTTAACCTGTACACCATACCTCAGGCACGAACCAAACCCAAAGGGTCCATGTGCCCAACTAGCATATACTTTGATCGTAAAGTATTACCAATATGGTTACTTTCAGGCCAAAGGACATAACATCTGGGGATAGATATGGACCCTTAAGGATGTAGAATCAGAACAAAGTTCAACACAGTTCGGGGGCCCATTATGCGATAGTCATCGTGGGACTACAGGGGCTACTACGAAGTATTCCCTTTAACGAAACAAACTCAACCGACGGCCTGGACCGAAGACCTGCCCACAAAAAAACAGCCCGAAAGTACGGATAACAATATAAATCTGCAGTACCCATAATAAGGAATATCTGGGAATTCTGGTGTATTCCTTGTTATGGGCCATGCAGGATTTATATCATGAACCGTATCCCTGGCTCCTTGTGTGGAATGGGTTGAGGGCTTTAGGTTGAGGAACTATGGGACATAGGGAGCACTAAAAAAACCTTGCAAGACTACGGTTGATGATATAAATCCTGCATTACCCAGAATAAGGAATATACGGTAATTATGGTATATTCCTTATTATGGGTCATGCAGGATTTATATCATCAACCGTATCATAGGCATCCATTCCCCCATTCCATACTAAGAACCACGGAGAACTTAGCGGCTGAGTTCATAAGCCCCCCAAAACGGTACACTTTCAGTTTTTATAGTAGGTATTATTATCCCCAAAAGTGTAAAGTGTATCTACTTAGCTACTGACCCCTTGTAGTATCCCTTAAAAAGGAGCCTTCAAAGGAGCCCTAAGGGAACCCTTAAAGGACCCCTATAGTGACCTTTAAAGGGACCCTTGAATGTCCAGAGCTGAGCGCACCATCATGCTCACCATGAGCCAAAGAATTGCGGTGCATCTCCTGGCTCTTCTGCCCTAAGGCTCCATGTACCCATATAGTAGCTACTTAGGCCTTAAATAAGGGGTCCCTATATGGGTACTTTAAGGCCTAAGTACCTACTATATGGGTACATGGAGCCTTTGGGCTGTTTCTGTCAAAGGGGAAAAGGAAGGACCCTTAATGGGACCCTTAGACTATAATGGGTATATAATAGCTATACTAAGAGTATATACCTAAGTGTCCTTATTAAGGGTCCCTGCTTTTACCCTTGGATTCTGTTGCTTCAGGCTTGAAGGTCTAGGTTTAGGGGTCCGGGATTAGGGTTTAGGGTTCAGGGTTTGGTGGTTTGTGTGTTGAGGGCTTGAAACGCTTCACCAAGGATTGAGGGCTTGATTCCCGAGCTTAGGGCCTTGAGGAGTAGCTTAGAGCTGAGAGTGTCAAAAAGATTTTTTGGGGTAGGCTCTTAACGGCTCTGGGCTTAGCTTGGAGGTTTAGGGTTTAAGGTTGAGCCCTTACAGAGGGATCCTAAACGCACAAACCATACTGTAAAGATCCCTTGGAAAACACACAGAACACATGTAGGGAGAGAAGCAAAACATACCCCATGGTCTGCAAATACTTTGAACCCTTGTAGTGCCCGAGAAGGAACATCTTAAATGGTCTCTAAAGGATGCTAATGGTATTATATTTATATATATATATAGAGAGAGAGAGAGACAGAGACAGAGAGAGAGAGAGAAAGAGAGAGAGAGAGAGAGAAAATATATATATATATATATATATATATACAAACACACACATATTTATGTATATCCCTTAAAGGAACCCCTAAAGGAACCCTGAAAGTATCCCTTACATAGTTCGGTCCTGCAGGAGGTCAACTGCACGTTGCCAATGCAGACCGGACCCCTGCGCCCCGATCATCACACCTCGGAGCTGCTTCCCTAAGGCTCCATGTACCCATATAGTAGGTACTTAGGCCTTAAAGGGGTCCCTGTATGGATACTTTAAGGCCTAAGAACCCGATCATCACACCTCAGAGCGGCTTAGGGTTTAGGAGTTTAGGGCTTTGGGGGTTTAGGGTTTAGGGTTTTAGGGGTTTAGGGGTTTAGGCCTAGACCTAAACAGTTAACGCTCAACCTCACACCCCTTAAAACAACCCTAAACCCTGAACCCTAACTCCTAAACCCTAAACCCCCAAGCCCCGAAACCCCCGAGCCGAAGCTTGGCTAACCCTAAGGGGCCATGTACTCAAAAAGTATATACTTTGTCTTCAAAGTATAATTCCAACAGAGGTACTTTAGGCCCAAGGCCTATGGGCACATGGACCCTTAAATCCTGAACCCTTTACGGAACCTTTACAGGAACCCGTAAAGGATAGTGGTACATGGACCCGTAGGGCTAAGAGATCGAGGCACAGAATGTTTTGCCATCTGGACCGATTTTCGCTTCCAGCATCTGGGCCTCAGACAGGTGGCGCGCGCGCCAAAAAGCAACGGGGTGTACGGGTTTAGAAGAGGGTTTAGGGTTGAGGGGTAAGGGTTTAGGGGTTTAGGAGAGGGTTTAGGATTTAGGGCTTAGGGTCTAGGTTTTAGGGCTTAGGGTTGAGGGGTTAGGGTTTGGGGGCTTTAGATAAGGGCCTAGGGAGGTGACAGAATCTAACCCCACCTGGAGCCGAAAGAACCTACCTTTCTGGGGCTCATCAATATGGTCTTGATATCTATATATCCTTACCTCGGGTACTGTCCTCAGTCAGTTACGGCGGAAAACTTACATTATACACTTACAATGCGTATAGTAGTACACCATTATTGCATCCTACTTGTCGAGTATCCTGGGGAACTAAAGGGTAAGAACATGTTGGGACTATCTAGGGGTTATAATACCGCCAAAAGCTAAAGGTTGCCTACCCTACTCCTGTTACTAGGATATGGAGGCAATACCTAGCAATACCTAACCCAACCCCCGAAAAGCAATGAATCACTGCAGCAGCCCCCTGATGTTGTAAGAGCTCCTCCAAGTGTAGCAACTGGGAGCTCGCCTCAACACCGAAACCCCTAAACACTGAACTCTCAACTTCTAAACCCTGACAACCCGCAAAACCTACACTACACCCCCAATACCTAAACCCTGAACCTTGAACCCTAAACCCTAAACCCTAAACCCCAATACCTAAACCCTGAACCTTGAAGCCTAAGACGGTCCGAATCGGCAGTCTCTCTGAGCCCACCCCGGAAGCCGCCTCAGAGCGCAACCTATGAGGCTGAGGAGGGTCTACTTGGAGGGGCAGGGGACTTAGTAAGGGTTCTTAAAGGGCTCCTTAAAGGGATCTATAGGGCTCCTTAAAAGTGATCTATGGGGTTTAGGGTCTATAGATGTTTCGGTTTCAGGGTTTAAGGTTCAGGGCTCATGGTTTCGGTTTCGCGTTGGGGGTTTAGGGTTCAGGTTCAGGGTTTAGAGGAGTCATCCCGAAGTGTGACACCGTAAACCCGGCACCGGACCCTGAGGGCTGTAGATGGTAATGGTCCCAAAGGGTCCAAAAACTTCCTTTATAGTAGAATGTAGGGTTTCTATATTAGGAATTACTATGATGACTTGAGGAAGTATCCCCCATAACAGCACCTAAGACCCTTGGGGGGTACTCAGAAGGGGAACTCCTTTTCTTCACCTTGCAGGGCTCTGTGTCTCCTCTGCAGGAAGCTGCGGACACTGTCCTCAAGCCTCTGCCTCGGCAATGGATTTCAGGTTCAGGGCTTTAGGGTTTGGGGGGGCCCAGGGTTCAGGGGCGTCCAGGGCTTACGGCTCCACTGAAAAGGCTGGGGCCTTGTAGGGCGAAAAAGGGCTCAGGGGGAGTATGGCTCCATTTAGGGCGCACTTGGGTTCAGGGTTCCGAGCTTTTTGCACGCTCGATGGGTTTCAAGGCCTCAAGGTCTTAGGATAGCCTAGTTGTAGGATGCTGCGCACCCTGTATGCTGGCTACAGTACTTAGTTCCATGAGTCACAGCATGTAGCAATAATAAAAGGTAAGGGGGTTCCGAAAACAAGGGACATCCAATACAGGCCCCCTATCTGTGGTGAATCTGCAGGAGCCGTAATAAAGCGGAAACCGCACACCACTAACGGGTTTAGGTTGGGGGAACCCTGAATCCAGAAATGTAGGATTTTAGAGTTTATAAGGTTTAATTTAGCTTTCTCCAGCACAGACCTTAGAAAGCTTGGAAAACGTTCTGCTGGGTAGAAAGCAAGCTGCAGCAGGTTTGCCGTGCGGTTCTGCATCATGTTTCCAGATGCAGCCAGTGCCGCCGCGAAGGTGCTCGCATCCGTGTCCACCAAACGAACCTGGCACACCAAAGCCATAAAGAAAGGTTATACAGCCGAGGTCCTGAAATGTTGTACGTTCGCTCGGTAGACTAACCCTACACAATCCTAAACCCGAAACCCTGCACGGATTGTAGGGTTGGGGGGCCACGCTCCTATACACCTAAAGAAAACAAGAGGCTGGACACTCTCAGATCGATGCCCTTGGACCTTACAACGGCACCCTTAACGGCTGCCCCGCGCTGTGCTCAGGTCCCGGCTCCCCCGCAGCATGCAAAGGTACGACTTCGCGCAAGGTGTCGCGAGTTACTATCCCCCAATAACCTCGGGGTCCACCCAAGTAGTTCATACATTGGCCTCAAAGTACTTCTACAGAGACTCCTGTAAGGCCGAAGTATTTGCTATCTGGGTACATGGGCTCGTAGGGATAGGTACATCCTGAACTCTCCTGGCATGTACTCTGTGGCAATATGGACCCTTGACAAAAATTAAGGGGTCTCCCGGCCTCCATCCACTGCAGCAGCTGCAATGCCTTCTGCCATTCCTCACTTCTGCGATGCCCAAGAAAACTACAGTACAGCTTGCTTCAAAAATCATAGAAACGAGAGAACCCCAAGGAGAGTGCAACTAAACCCAAAACCCCTAAACCCTTGCCCCAAACCCTAAACCCAAGACGAATGCAACCCTAAACCCTAAACACTAAATCCCAAGACGACTGAAGCCCTTCACCATAGGTTGGTCTTGCAGATCTAAATCATGCAGTACCCATAATAAGGAATATACCATAATTCCCACAGCCTAGGGTCATTTAAGTAATGGTTCTTTATATAATCAAGCAACCCCAAAAACCTAAACCCTAAAACCCTACAGATCCCTTAAACGAACCCTTAAAGGTGGCCTTATAGCTCCCTCTAAAGGAACCCCTTAAAGGTAGCCTTGTAGATCCCTTCAAAGCAAAACCCCATCAGCCGTATTGAAGATCTAAGCTTCAGCAGCCTTTGAGCAGGCGCCGATGGCAGAAGTGCATGAGATGAGGTTCGCCTCTGTGACACACATGGCTTGGGAGGATCAGGGCTTAGGATTTTAGGGGTTTAGGGTTTAGGGGTTGGGGGTTTAGGGGTTTAGGGTTTAGGGTTTAGGGTTTAGGGGTTTAGGGGTTTAGGGTTTAGGGTTTAGGGGTTTAGGGTTTAGGGGGTTGGGGTTTAGGGTTTAGGGTCTAGTATTGTTATGGCTTCATTAAAGTATCTGCGACTGTTAACGAGCTTAGGGCTTAGGATATCAAACTAGTATTGTTACATTGGTAGTTTGATTATAGTGCTTTGTAGTATGATCATTACTGGTAAGTAAGCTTTCGTAGGGCTCAAGGTTCAGAGTTTAGGGTTTTGGGGGTTTGGGGTTTAGGTGTCGCGTTCGTAATACTCCAATGCTCGAACGACCCAGACTTCAAGGCCTTGGGGGGTGCCTTGTTTCGTACCTTCTCCACACACAAACACACACTAAAATGCGACAAACAAGTCATCGCAACCCAAACTCTAGCCACTAAACCCCAAAATCCCCAAACCCCGACCCAACTTAAGCCCTAAAGCCCCCAACACGCACTTCAGCAGCACAGCCCAGCTGCATCCAAGACCTCCGCTTTGAGCTCTGCCAACAGAGAAAGGCTTTGAGACCATTTGGAAGCCCTCTCCTTTCTGCATCGGCTTAAACTGTTCCTTAGGTTAGATTTTCCTGCGGGCTCTTTGAAGGTGCTTTGGGGTTCTTGGTTCTAGGGTTCTCTTAAAGGGTTCTTTTAAAGGGTACTATAAGGGCTTAGGGTTTCGGGTTCTATAAACTGTTCCTTACCCAGAGGCTCCATGTATAGTACCATTATGGAATTATTAGGTCCCAAAGATCATCCATATTATGGCTCTGGGAGCCTCATTCCATAATGGTACTATATATAAAGCCTCTGGGTTAGGTTAGATTTTAGGGTTTACGGGTCTCTACGGGCTTTTTGCGCTTCGATTAGGGTTTAGGGGCCTTTTTTTTGCTTCGGTTTAAGTGATCCTATACGGTTTTTGGTTCAGGGACTTTTGGATTCCATTTAAATCCTGATGCCTCCAGGTACGATATATAATTGGCTCCCTAAGGGGCCTAGGGCCCTTATTGTAAGGTCCTTGGAAGCTTGACCTTTGCGTCTGCGGATGAGGGGTTTAAGGTTTAGGATTCAATGCTTAGGACCTACAGGGCTTGGAGAAGGTCCTGTGCTGCGATTTAAGGTTTACGGGGTTGGTATAAGGCTAACCCGTTAGGGCTTAAGGCTTGCCACTTCCAGGGTTTTTATGCCTTTTGAACCCGTTGAGGTATGAGGTTGTTATGCTTCATGAAAACTCTACATCCAAAGCGCCAAAGCTTTGAAAGCTGAGGCAGGTAATTCGGAACCTCCGTACAAGTTGAATTAGGCCTGATAAGCTTGGCGGTTTGGTATCAAGAAACCCAAATCCTACACACCAGAAGTGTATCTAGCTTGCCCTAAGGCTCCCAAAAGGGTCACGGGCTTTCTGGGGGAGGGTTTGGGCTTTCGGGGCTACGGATTGGGCTTAGGAAAATGGTTCCCAAAAGTCCATGTACCCATACGATGGTATTCTTTTAGGGTTCCTATTAGGGTTCCTTTCAGGGTACTGTAAGGGTTCTGTTGGGTTTCGAGAAGTGTATATGCTTGAGTACTGGAGAGCCAAACCTTAACCTACACCAATAATAAGCCTCGATAACCCTAAACCCTGGACCTCCCAGACCTTCCAAAATCACTCAATTAAGGAATATACCCAGAGGCTCCATCATGGAATTAGGTCCCTACAGACCATCCATATTACGGCTTTGGGAGGGAGCCTCTGTAGGATGCCTTACAATCTGGTAGGACCCCTGGTATGATTTAAAATATATTCCTTAAGTAAGCGTGTTTGCAGGGTCTGACCTGCCAATCCTAGAGCCTATTGTGAGCCCTGCGCCCTTTGATAAACGGACGCTTCTAACCAGCGCTAAACCTGTATCTGAATGTAGAACCAGAACCCCAAACTCATAACCTAAACCAACCATCCCAACACTAAACCTACACCCAAATCAACCCCCAAACGCAACCTAAACCCTACATCAATCAACCCTAAACC